ACTTAGAGTCATCTGTTTAGGGTCCTTAATTACCTCTGAAAAATCTTGCCACCAGTGTCAGATTCTATTAGTTAAGAATCAAGCCACAGTTTCCTCTCAAGCTCAAATTACACAAGGCTGAAACTCTTAGAGGGGTCATTTTAGGGTATGTTGGTCACAAGAATTAAAGAAATCAATACAGTGATTATATTGTATAGATATGACCAAGAAGAGTCTGTAACTATGGGAACACAAATATTGGTGTATGTGTGTGCACTCATTTCGATCAGCTTAACTTTCGCTGCTTAAGAAACCAGGTGAAAATTTAACATTTTTAAAACAAGACCATTTATTTAGCTCAGAAATCTGCAGGTCAAAAATTTTGGCTGTGTTCTATCAGGTGATTTCACAGGTGTGCTCAGGCTCAACTGATCTTTGCTATGGGTTCACCAATGTGTCTGCAATAGGCTTCTGGGTTGGTTGATGGCTGGTGAGCTGTTTGGTGATTGTTTATTTGTCTGCTGAGTGGTCTACATTGCCTAGTAGAGTAGCCAAGGCTTTTACATCATTTTGACATTCTGTACCAGCATGTCAGTTAACCCAATGTACAAGTACGTTTCAAGGTACTGTTTCTTGTATTGCATTTGTTAGTCTTCCCCTGGGCCCAGATTAAGGGGTGAGAAAAGAACTTTGCTTTTATTACATAAAAAATAGAATATTGCAGGCATTTTTACTGTCTACCACAATGATATTTATTATATTTTCAAAGAGAGAATATTTCTTCTTTAGATGTATGTCAGGATGAGTGAGCTAGTGGATATATACAAAGATGAGTGCATAGGACATGGGGAATAACTGAAGAAATGAAATCCCTAAGAAGGCCAGAGCTGCCATGTTTCAGAGTACCCAGGAAGAATACACCTTTTAAAAAGTGAAAGGCCACTACTTCTCCTTAGAATAAAGAAAGGAGAATGAAAGTGAATCTAGAAAAGTTTGGTTTCTTGTTAATCTCAATTTTCCTAGGAGAGAAGAAATCTGTCTGTTGAGTTAAAGGGGGAGTAGGCGGATTAAAGGTTGGTGGAGAATATTAACACTTTGGAAGAGACGGATAGGAGGGGAAGCCAAGTTCCAAACAGGAGAAATGGCAAAAAATCCAACAAAAAAGATGAGAGACAAGGGACACAGATGAAACTATAGACTTCAAATTGGTGAGGAAACCCCTCAGAGGTGCCTCACCACGTTTGAGTGGAGAAAGGTGTCCCTCTGCACAGGAGCAGGAAAGCCCCACCCATTTTGAGCTGAGTCCTTCTATAGAACAATATTTGTAAGTCAAATGCAGTGATCCAGTCAGTTAACAGAGTGCTACCAATTTTTTTTTTCACATAGCAGCTTTAAGTAGATCATGTCCAGGAACTAATGACAATGGGATGATTTAAGAGTGAGGATTTGCCAGGTGGATGGGCAAGAGGTCCAGATGGCTAGAAGGGTGGCAATGCTGGCCAAAAGGTTGAGTCTGAACAAAGTATTGCTGAAACCTAAAATGAAAAACAGTAGGAAGTTAGGGAGATGGTATTGAATAGCAAAAAAACAACTCTGTTATAAAGGAAAACTATTTAGTTCCTGGTGTAAAATCATCAACAAAGTCTTGAGCATAGGTGAACATTGATTAGATATCAAAAGCTCAGTCTGGTACTGAGTTTAATGGGAAACAGCTACAGGTAGGAATGACAGAAAAGGTTATTTAATTTGCTTAGTTAAGAAAAGCTGAAAACACCCTGTAGAGTTTTGTGTATTTCAGAGAGTAGAGGACAGATCAATAGGTAAGGAGGCCAAACTACTTTAACATAGTGGTTACGAAAAATGGGGAATCTAGGATTTCTTTGTACAGATGCAGAAGGAAGAGTACAACTATACAGGCAAACATTAAGAGCTATCAAAACACTGGGACCCTATTCACAGCATCAGCTAGCAGATCACTCATCTCAGCTTGTATTCAGGTATTTTGGAATCTCAGAGGTACATTAAAAAAAGAATATATACAGAAGCAGCTAATTTTGGATTTAGTCAAATTACAAGGCAGCTTCGCAATTAATTGGTTACTCAAATAACTAAGGGTTTCTATGATACAGGATGCAAGGGTTAAATTATGATTGAGTTCATCTACCCAATGAGAGTAGCACATTGCAGGCATCTTGTCGCTGAGATTATAGTGATTGTACAGAGTTCAAGATAGTCTTTCTACAAGAGAGTCTTGAGAATGACTTTGGGGTACATGTGAGGTGAATGGGCTCAGGAACTAGAAGAATGCTGTAGACAGTCACAGGTAGCTCTATAGAGGTGTTTAAGCAAAGAACTCAACATTAAGTTGGGGTAAGAAGAAAATGGTAAAGAAGACAGAGAATAGTCTTGAGTAAGGAATTAAAGCATCATTAACAAACCTGGAGAATAAAAGAAAGGGATGGAAATAATTTTTGGATGTAAATTAAGAAGTTTATCATCACTGGTAGGGGATATCGGGGAAGAAGTAAAGTGAAGGATGATTCTGAATCACTGACTGAGAATTTGACATATGCCCTTTCCTTCCTTCTATATGATATTATTCACTCATGTGTGGACACTTTCTTTAAAAAGAAAAACTTATTTGTGAGAGGAACTCAGGGAAATGAGTCTTTTCCATTACAAAATGAAACTTCACCCCTAGAAATTTTATAAAACAATGGTGTCACTCTTTTTTATTTGTATAAATTAGAATAACATCATGGTGTATTTGTAGGTTGAAATGAATATATTATAACTAATTAAGAATATATGGAATAAAATATAATGAAATTACATATAGATTAACATAAGCATAATAAATATTCTTAGTCTTCTTAGAGTCTTTCAGAAGTTATTCGTCAATTAATTATCTAAAAGTATGGTAACATTATGAGTAACTTATGTTAAGTGTAATATCATTTAATATAGTGGAATGATTGGTAATTAAAATTTGTAATCTTAGGAAGTTGGAGGTAACAGCTTTTTTCTCTGAATGAGCCCCTCAAAATTATGAACCTATGATCCTACACAGTGACATTCTGGCAAATAATCAGGATGAATTAATGAGTTTTTCCATAAACATTGAAGTTCTTAGGAAACAACAGACTGAAAGGTGATAGGATTTTTGTGGTTGTCGATATTAATTTACAAAATTTGTTACCAAACTGTGTTATTCTAGGCATGTCTCAATGTGTAAACACCTTCAGAGCCTGGGAATGGCTCCATTCCTTCTGTGAGGAGAGATCAATCATGGAAACAATTGAAGAAAACCTCTCATTCTCCGTTAAAACAGACAAACAAACAAACAAACAGGCCCTGAATATACTGTTAATTCTAAGAAGATAACTTCTTAAACATTAAATATGAATTCAAATACAAGTAATTATGTAACTTCTTGTGGTGACACAAGAATTATGCTGACATTTGGATATAAATATATTCCCTAATCATGTGAATCAATCACATAAACACTGGCTAAACAGAGTTGTTTCTAAGTAAAACTTATGCATATTAATTGTTCAGCTTTCTTTCTCAATTTGATGGAATTCTGCTTGATTATTAATTACACTGATTTTCTGATATTCTGGATTATGTCAATTTAATAAAATATTATTTATTTGTAAAACTGCTGTGTTGCAAATATGCATATTGATTCACACACAAAAGAAAGAAATATTTTTAGTATATTTCTTCAGAAAATAAAAAGTTTGTTATGAATTTATTCGAATTTGTCAGTTTTCAGTAGTTTTAGAGTTCAAAACTATATGTCATAAATATCTTTGCCTGAATGCTGATGGACACTTTCTTAAAATGTTCTAAAGCAAAATCAAGAAATATCTTTTACTCTATTTATAAACCAAAACTTTGTTGTTTAATTGATATATTCATATACATTTTCTTCCTATGTGCTTAATGCAATACGTCTATCTTAATATTTGAATAGCTGATATTCTCCAAATTCTTTATTAGACATGTATATTTTTTTTACCTTATAGGCTGACAGAATTAAATTTATTTTGAAGAGAAGTCTCGGTTTACAAGATTTTGGAGTCATTTATGATTCCAGTACTTGTCTTCAAGTACTGGATGACTTTTAAAATAGCACAACAATACATACAACTGGTTATTTCACAAGCTTTCTCTAGCTTCTGTTAGAAAAGCATGAATTGTTTTTTATTGCATCTTTATTTGGTATGGAATTGGTTGCTTGCTTGTTTCAGTTGAATTATATTTATAAGTACTCTGGCTTCTTTTGATATCAAAGAGAGACTATTCCTTCCAGCATAGTCCAAATCATTTGTTAAATGTTCATTAAATGTTCCTCTTAAGTGTTCATTCTGGCAAGTAATTAGGGAGAATCATCTAGAGCTCTCTTTCTATTCTGGACATTGCATTGACTCTTTTAATTTATTGCTCTGGGTGCTTTGTCATTTGAATTCTGGGCACGTATTCAGGTTCATGACATGTAGGAGTAAGTAGTCCAAATGTCTAGAATTTTAAACACTTGAAGTGTGATGATGATGATGATGATGATGATGATTAGGATTGTAGTCATTATCCTCACATTACGGTTTATATACTTCCAATGGAAAAAAATTTATTTCATTTTCCAAAGTGAAGTTTCAAATTCATATGGATGGTGACTTATTTATTTCCAAATCACACAATTCCAGATTAAGACAAATATTTTAGATATGGTCAATGAATTATTTTCCAAATGGAAACACAGAAAATTTTACACTGGTTTTCAAACCGGGGAATCAATCATGTATTGAATACAAATCTTCAAAGTTTATTATATCTTATTTTGTAGCAGGAACTCATTAGCAAAACAGAAATTCCTTCATTTTCATGGAGGCTTAAGGCACCCCCTTTTGTGTAAACTAGTGGAAGGACTGTTTGCTTAGTGACACAGTAACAAGAATATTTTGATAGTTTCACAAATAATGTCCTATTTCAATCTGTCTGTTTCTCTCCTCTAGTTAACTTCTTCTCCCACTACCTCTGAGCAGCTTGCCTGTAAACCACCTGCTTTCTCCTTTGTTTCTCCAACTAATCAGAAAACACCACCTGTCCCAGCTAACCTCGATGGAGCCTCTGTCCTAGAGGAGTTCCACACTAGGAGGCTGGATGTCAGTGGGGCCCTGGTAGAAGAAACAGCTGCGTATTTTCAAACGACTGCTCACTCTTCACCCTTTTCTGCATCGAAGGGCGCCTCGTGGACATTACCGTTTCCCCATTCCACTCAACTGCCAGGTTCTAATCTATCCAGTCCAAGTGCAGCAGATCAAAACCCTGGACTGGCACCTGAAGTTCTGAAGAAGACGACACCTTTAACCTCGAATGTCCTTAGTCCCAGAGAAAGCCTGAAAACCACTTCTCCTTCACCTTCCTCCAGTGCTTCTCTGAAGTCGAATTCAGCCTCCTACATACCAGTCCGCATTGTCATGCATTCACTCTCTCCAAGTCCGAAACCACTTACCTCCTCTTTCCATGGCTCCTCTTCTACTGTTTGTAGCCAAATGTCATCTAGTGGAAATCTTTCAAAGTCAGGGGTGAAATCCCAGGTGCCCTCCCGGCTTTCCCTTCTCACTGCTATCCTCAAGTCAAACCCTTCTCACCAAAGACCTGTGTCCCCTGCATCCTGCCCCACCTTCTCCCTCAACTCCCTGGCCTCCTCCACTCTCGCCCTTGACCAAAAAGTAAAGCAAACCACACTCACACCTAAAAAATCTCTCTCAAGTTGCTCCCTGAGAGCCCAGTCTCCAGCGCAAGCAGAACACCAGGTTTCTGAGCTGGCCCAGCAATCCTTCCACCTCCCTTTCTTCACCAAGTCTACTCCCACCTCTCAGGTGTCCTCCCTCTCTCCTACTACACCTGTCAAGTGCAGCCTTGTTTCTATGAATGTAGACAAAACACCGTCTCCTACTTCTTTGAAGAGTGGTACAATGCTCTCCCCGATACAAACCAATGCCTCTAGTTTTGCAGATCTTCCTCCTGTCCCACCAAGCTCTTCACTTTCTTCTTCAAAGAACAAACAGGATGGGGATCTCAGAGGTTCAGAGAATCCCAGGAATACATACACACACCCTTCTACATTAGCCTCATCTGCATTATCTTCTGTATCTCCTCCTATTAATCACAGCACCATGCCCTCCTCTCCAGAGAAATGTTTCCATCCATCCCCAGCCCTTTCAAACCTGATAGACAGATCCCAAAGAGCATCATATAAACCATCAGGCCAGGGGCTGAATCCTTCAGCTCTTTCTTCACCTGCTCTCTGCAGTGCTGGCTGTGCCTCTCTTCCCAGCTTGGGGTCCTCCTCAGTCCCACCTGCTGCTCTGCCCACCCCTGCACTACAGCTCAGTCCCTCAACACTGCAACCAAATTGTGGCAGTGGTTCATTGCCTTCAAGAATGATGAAATCTGAAAGCACAAAATCCAACCACACGGCACCCGTTTCAACACCATCAATACCCATCTCTCTAACAAGAACCAAGGAGCTGATTTCACCTTGTGCATTGTCCCTGTCAACAGGCCCCGAAAACAAGAAACCCAAGGTATTTTTTTTTTGCATGGTGCATGCTAATTTCAAAATATGGATTCTCAGGGGGAAGATCAATAGTTATGACATTGATATTCTGCTCCTATGAGAAAGTGGAGAAAGTATGGGGGGAGATCCTAGAATTTGGTAAATTTGAATGTAGAGATGAATTATGGTCTGTCTAAAATTACTTATTTCTGCAAATGCCTTTGATTTGACCTCCTCTTAAGGTAACATTTTATGTATGACTCCAAGGGAATTTTTTATTTAGGTATAATGTGAATTATGCATTAAACACCTACTATATGTCTACCATTGGACTAGCTTTCTTTGGAACACATGATTTTTAAAGGGGAAAAAGATAATACTTTAATTTGAAAAATAAAATTTCATTCAGCAGAAAAATTCACAAGTACAATGTAGAGTTACTAATTCTACAATAAAACTAGAAAGCAAGTACAGTTATTCCTGCTTGATTTGGTTCCAGGACCAACTAGAGATAACTCAAATCTGCAGATGCTCAAGTCTCAAATTAAATGACATGGCTGGGTGTGGTGGTGCATACCTGTAATTCTAGAGGCTTGGGAGGCTGAGACAGGAGCATCGCTAGTTCAAGCCATCCTCATCAAGTTAGTGTGGCCCTAAGCAACTCAGTGAGATGCTGTCTCTAAATAAAATACAAAAAATAGTGCTGGAGATGTGACTCAGTGGTCTAGTCCCTGAGTTCAATCCCCAGTACCAATAAATAAATAAACAAACAAAAAAAATAAATGACATGGGATTTGCCTATAACTTAAGACATTTTCCTATAAACTTTAAATCATCACTAGATTACTTATAATACCTAGTAGAAGGTAAAGACTATGTAAATGACAATCACACTGTATTTTAAATGGAATTAAAAAGTCTGTACATGTTCAGTACAGACACAATTTTTTCCAAATGTATTTAATCTGTTGCAAAACCATGGATACAGACAGCAAGTTGTATGCAATCAAATAAACATTTTGTAATTTAAATTATAAATAAAGTAATTGTTGACTGAGTTCAATAAAACAGGAATATTATTACAGGATATAGCTAGTGAGGGAAGTTATTATAGATGTCAGTCTTGTTGGAAATGTTTAGGATTTAATGAAGAGAAAAGGAGTTGGCAGTTTAGAAATGGAAAACAACCTGACCAAATATACAGAAGATAATCCCAGAAGACTATATGTGGAGATACAAGATTTGAATTGTAATAGATTTGAATAATGGTAATAATAATTACAGCTACAATTATTAAATGCTTTCTGAGTCTAGAACTATCAATTATAATTGATTAAAATGCATAGCTTTTTGCTTATTTTTATAACCACAGGAAATTGGTAATATTTTTATCCTTATTTGTATACACCAAGAAATGAAATTCAGTGAATAACTTGTCTATGTCAAATATCTGGTACAGAGCTAACATTTATATTAATTAAAGCCTGCTAATTCTTGAAGCCTTGTTCTTTTTCTACTATGATTTATTGCTACAAAAAGTAACTCATATTAATTACCAAGTTATCCCACTTTATAATTCTCATGAAGAAAAAAATCATTATTATGGAATAATGACCAGAACTCACAATTTGTATCATATTAAAATGTATTTTAATGACTAAGTCCTTATATTTTAAACTTTCACAGCAAATGAATTGGATAAAGTTAACTTTTTCTATGATTCTAAATTTAAAATTCCTATTTATTTGAGGTGAAATGAACTTTCTTAATGACTTTTCAATACCTATGTGTGATTATGAAATTCGTTGCAGTATATTAAAAATCCTGACCATCTATTCATTATTTCCTGAATTTATTGAAAATCATTTTTTAAGACTTGCTGCCATATAAATTATTCATTACCTTTGTGAAAAGTGATTTTTACTCCATAAGCCTCTTCAAAGTGTTCCTATTTGTGGTTCACTGTGCTTTGTTCCTGTTTTGCCCTGTTTTGGACACAGAAGAGGGAGTCCATAAAGGCTTTTGATAAATTAAAGGCTGGTGTGTTGAAGACCTATCCCCCCCCCCCCCCCCGCCCCAGACTCCCTTCCTGCTCCCACCATGGAAGAATTTCAATCACTAGGTTTTTCTTTCTGTTTTATTTTTTTTATTTCCAAGTTAAGAAAATTTAAGGTTATAAAAATACACACTTAAGTTGATGAACATGAAAATTAGAATGAGTACTATAACTACCACCAGTAAAAACATTAATCTATTTTTTTGAATAGAAAAAAGTTTCTTATCATGGGTTAAATTTATAATTGCAAAAGTAGTTGCTCTCTGAGGCAGACTGTTCCCTTTCATCTTTTTATTTCCCACTTGCTTCTTGCTATTATTATCTTTCTAGATTAAAAATCAGTCAACATTTTTTTTTGTTACAAACCGTTATTTTCAAGAATTATACCTTAAGTATAAAAATCATTAAAATTGATGCTGGTAGAGATAAATCCTATCCTAGTTTCTTTTGACATTTGACTTTTGTTTAAATTGGCATGATTATTTTATAGAATGATAGGAAGAAAGAGACAAAAGCTTTGTGAAATCAAAGAATTTCTATGGTTTCCTTAGTTGTTTCTTGACTTTCTCCTTCCAGGGTGGTGCTAATCCAAGCAGAGGGCTCTTTTTGAAGTCAAAGAACTTCAGATTTAGATCAGCTTCACTTGTGCCCAGATTCCTAAAGGATATGGGTGCTAGAACACAGATGGCCGTCAAATTGAAACAGAAATGCTTGAAGGATATTAGTTCAAAGTCTGGGCCCTACTGTCCTTTGATATTAAAATAAAATGGAACAGCCAGAGTATGCTGAGCTAAATTCAGAAAAAGAGCATGTTTGATGTTTCTTTTTCATTGATAGGTCTTATAGTTTGAATCTGTTTGCATTAGTATGATATAATTGTTATGTTAATTTCAGATGTAGTTTTTTGTTGTTGTTGTTGTTATTATTTTTTTTTTTTTGTACTGCAGCTTGAACCCAGGGTTGTTTTACCACTGAGTTACATTCCAAGTCCTTTTTGTTTTTATTCTGAGATAGGGTCTTGCTAAGTTGCTGAAGCTGTCCTGGAACTTGTGGTTCTCATTGGTCTCCTGAGTTGCTTGGATTACTGGATTACTTGGATTACATCAGACATGATTTTAAAATATTATTTTGTTTTGAGTCTGGCCCTAGGCAGGATAGACTTTTATCTGAATGTTGCTCAGGCTACTATTTGATCAATATTTATATTGTCTAAGACATATTTTTTCCTCTTGACAAAGACTGGATATCATAAAATTCACCCATAGGGGTTGTGTTTGGGTTCCAAATATATTTTGCCTTCATTTACATATACAATAATTTAAACTTTTCTTGTAGTAAGTCATCATGGTATTTAATATAAATTGGAGTGACCATTACATCAGAATCGCACTAAAAGGGGTTTGTAAAAGGTCTGAATATCTCTTCCAGTTATGAGGTCCTCCAGTAATGGGACTGGCCTCAAAATTATTTGGACATATAACTTGTATAGGGAAACTGCTGGGAGCTTTGGATATTTCAATAGTCTTCATAGCTGGTATTCTGTTTATTAAACATTCATTTATCAAACAATTTTCAATTATATTACACTGATGAATTAGTGGCAGCAGTCAGTATGTGGCTGTCTCCATTTCTTCAGAACTGCATAGCATTTGGAAAATGAGCAATATGAGATGTGTCTTCATGACCTAAAATAATTAGTCTGGGTTCAAACAAATCATTTATTCAATAAATATGTAATGAGTAGCTAATATATATCTTTCCAAGTTACAACAAACAAAACATGCAACAATGCCTGCTTATTATATTCCATGGTGGAAGAGAAACAATCAATAATTACTCTCCAAATAATAAGTCAATCATCTTTGAGAAAGCAACATCCAAAGAAGTGATGTTTCTTAAGAGAGCAGAGTGAGGAAAATGTTCTGAGGGCAGAGGCTGGGGCCAATATGGAGTTGAGGAATGAGTGACAATACTTGGAGATTGTCAGAAGGAGACCTAAGTGCAGGCCACTCTTCAGTCTTTGATTTTTACTTTGAGGAAGACAAAAAGCCATTGGAGAGTTTTGAATGGACAAGTGACACAATCCTCGTTGTTGTGTTAAGAGTAGACTGTAAGAGGATGAGAGGGGAAGTAGAGAGACTTTGGTTATTATAATCAATCAGCTAGGATAGTGATGATGGTGGCTTGGGAGGTGATAGCTATGAAAGTGAAGATAATATTTCTGTGTTATTTTGTAGGTTGAATAACAAATATTTAGCAATCATCTGAGAGACTGTATGAAATGATAAAACAGCAGCTAGACATGTACTTTCTCAATTCTTTTTTATCTCACTGTCTTTTATTCCACCCCCTTCCAAAGATCTTGGTGCTTTTCTGAGGACTCCTGATATTCCACAATTCTTCCATGTCTGCTATTTGTGTCACTTGACTTAACACTAACCAGTTCATGTCCCATTCCCTTGGCCTCTCTCCAGCTAAATTGATTTTAGAATAATTCACACTCAAATGTCAATGATTGTCAAGTTTTCCTTTTACCTGGGATAGGGAATATTTGCATTTTAATTGGGGGACTGTACAATTTAACTTGCAGAAGAGACTTTTCAAAGGAAAAACAAGCGAACCAACACACACATAACAAACCCTAAACAAAACAGGGATCCAAGTTCATGAATTCAAACATTGTGGATCACAAAGGGGGATGACTTCAAAATCATAAAGTGTTAGAAGTGCCCAACGCACATGCTTGTATCGGGGAAGATGGGTGTCAGCCAAGTGGGTCTAGTGTTGGATCAATAGATAAAGAACTAAAATTTGTGTTTTTTCATATCCTCTGAATCTTACTATAATCTTCAATTAAATACTTTAATTAAATATTTCAAGTCAACGAATTCTTGCTCAACATTTGTTCTCTGGCAGATTTGTTGAAAATAAAATGAGAAAAAATATAAAATCTCCCTTCTAAAAGACTTCATATTATTTCTTTTATTTTTGAATCACATAGGGAAACTAATAAAATTGGAAGCTTTGGAATGCTGAAAAGGAAATATATTTCAAATTAGAATAAAGAACTTCATGTTTGGGTTTAACAATATTGTTGAGAGAACTCAAAGGAAAGAGAGTGGATCCAAAAAGTATCCTTTATACCAATAATCAAGATTTTCAGACTGAAAAGGAAAGGATATATGTGTCTTAGAGAACTAGTGCATGTCATAGTTACTCAATAAATATTTGTTGAATGAATCCACTGGTTGAACTGTGCATATCCAAACAGATTTTCAGGACAGTTTAACAGCTACCAAATTGGGAGAACCCACTAATAAGAACTTACTATCATTGGTATGTAACTTGAATGAAGATTAAAAACGACACACCTACTAAAAACATTAAATAATATTAGTACATTAAATAATACAAAAATCACTATCCTCACAGTTTACAATGAGAAGTCAAACCTAATAAGATGGACTTAGATAGAGATCATGCCTCTGCTTTTCCTAGTGGATTTTAATTATAGGATTTCTATAAAATTAAATAATAATAAATGTCAGTTCCTATTGCTCCTATATGAAGAGGTGACATTGAATTTTTCAATCCTTATTCAAATACCTTGTTGCTGGTAGACCACAACATTTTAGGGTCAATGTGAAGTCTTAGGGCATGAAAGGACCTGAGATATCCTCCAGCAATTGCCCTTCTTGTAGGAGGAGATGGGAGTACAGGACTTGGAAGAGTGGAGAGCCTGGTAGAAGGTCACAGAACTTCACGAGGGAAATAGTTATATGAAAGAGAAAAATAGAACATTCAGAGTTTATTTCATGGGAAAAAAAGGATTCAGATTCTGAGATCTTTGCATGCTTTGCTGAGTGTGTGTTTGCACAGGTGCGAGTGTGTATATATGTATGTTTCTATGTGAGTGCATGTGAATTTAGGAGTCTGTGCACATATAAATATATGCATTTGTTTGTGTGTGTGGAGTGTATGAGGTGAGCATGTGTGTGGGTGAACACAATCATCAGGATAAGGTTTTCTATGTCAAACCAGCTGGCACCCAGGTATCAGATGGCTCAATTCTCTTCATTATATCTAACACAGTAGACAGAAAATTTTAAAAATGAACAAAGAAAATGTGTTCTGTTTCTAGCTGGACACTGACATCTTCCTCCAGGTTTGGCACTTCTTTCTACTTTAGCTTCTTCCTAGAACAGTGAATGTGTCATCCTCTTAGCTTCATCCCAGCAGTTTAATGAAGGTTACTTTAATTATGTTCATAAACTCAAGGTTTAATTTTGTTGTACTGCCCTATCTTCTTCATTAGACCCTTTGGTTTCCTTTCCAAGGAACTGAGACACCCTATAGCTCTGTGACAATTTCTGGTTAGCTCTGAGCCACTGGGGAAGCTGCCTAAAGCAAGGACATTTGAAGAGATAGGAGCCTTGAACTTAATCAGCTTGAGGCCCAGAGTAATACCAAAATTGAGCTTTTGATTATGCTTTTTTTATCCTGCTTCCTACAACTTCCTTATACTCACCTCTCTTCTCCAAATAGTCCACAAAACTAAACTACATCACACTGAGTTTTACTTAAAATTTAGGAAGTTTTTAAAATTTACTTTATCAATATCACTATATTAGAAAGTGTGAGAGATGATGATGAGGTAGAAAACATGAACTTAAAAGATCAGGGGCTTTTACTTGTTTCTCCATTATGAAGTTATATTGCTGATGTTTTATTAAAATTATTGACTACCCTGTTAAGAACTGTTGTTCAATTTTATGTATTATGATCTCTGTTTTATGAATGATGCAAAAATGTATCAAGAGCTCAATTAAATTTACTGCTATATTATTTGTTAATTATGGTACTATAAAGAAGAAATATTCCTTTGAGGATCAACAGAAAGAACCTTGATCATTTATAGAATAGTACTCCTATGCAGGCATGCAGCTAATGAGAAATTTATATGTAACTGTGGAAATGAATGTTTTTAAGTTGTGAAACTGTGTTGCATTTAATTGCCTATGATCTCTAGGCTGATATTTTACTGTAGCATTTCTTTGTTTCTCATTCTAATAAAATATTAACATGTGAGCTAATTTTCTTTTTGTCAGAAGCAAGTTGTTCAAGTATAATGACTCTTTTCTTCATTTGATAACCTGTCATTTAACTTGGTAGAGCTGTCTAAAATTGTCATATTCTTCCCTTTTTCATCTTCACTCTTGCTTTCTGGTTACCCGTTCTAGCAATACAAGACCAAGTCAAGTTACAAGGCTTTTGCAGCAATTCCTACAAACACATTACTTTTGGAACAGAAGGTCAGTGTTGGCTCAAAAACAGAGTGAATTTTATGTTGCTAATGTCAGTTTTATTATGTTTCTAAAATTTCTGTTGGGAAGATTTATATTTTAAAGTTAAATAAAACTTCTCTTAATTAAGGATGATGTGCATGAAAGCATCTTGGTTAATATAACTGGATACATTATTGATTTATCATTAAGGGGTCAATGAGTTCAGAGATGTCTAGTCCATTGTCAAGCTGACTTGGGGAGCTTGATTCAGATGTGAAAATATACCTATCTTTTGGAACTTAAAATAACTTTTATGTTCAAGAACTTTTATTCTACTTCACATATATTATCAAAAGAATGAAGGTGGAATGGGGTTATGTGCCAACTGGCCACCTTGGTCATTGACTGGTCAAGACTTGATGATTAATATTGGCTTCCACCACTACACAATGTGGAACTACACTACAGTTGAGAATAACATCATATACCTCAGGATGAGCTAACCTTCTTCATTCATTTTTGCTAGAAATGAGGGAGGACTGAGATCACTGTTAATGACCAAGCTGCTTTCACATGATTCTAGGACATTTTTGCTTTGCTATTGAGATTATAAAATTACAAGATGTTACTTCAGCTTGTAAATTAAAGTGTCTTGTTTAGTAAGCCCACCACATTTGTCTAAATGAGAGTCAAATGAAGTGTTCATATCAGAATCAAAGTAAAATCAACTACCATGTCTGTCAAATTATACATTTCATATATTGTTTTTATGTAGTCTATTTATCTCTTAGTGTGTCAAGCTCATTTTTTCCCCTGTGTAATTGTAGTGTTTCAAGTACTGTTACTATCATTTTTCAAAATGTTAGTTTATCAATGAACCAATATTCTTGTTCTATATGCATAATCTGCAATGAAACCTTTGTATGAGATCTTATCTGATAATAGGAACTGTTAGTGAGAAATGCTAATAGCATATAGGTGAATATCAACTGGACCGCATTTCTTATATCTCTGGTTATAATTTCATATTATCCACATATGGTCTAGAATCTGTGTTCTATATAGTTAAATACTTTGTCCTGAAAGGTCACTAGTCTTCAGAGACATCTGCAGGCTTTTCTCTAGCTTTCCTGAATTTCTACCTTTGATGGCTTGTTAAAAGATGAGATGGCACTAAACTTCAGGAGTATGTGTGAAGTTTCACTGCCCCAGTTGCCCCTTGGCTCACTGTTTAGGGCCATCATGGGAGTCGTGGTGACCACAGGCCCTCTGCTGGTTTCAAATAGAGATCTCCTGTCTCTGGTCACCAGTGTCTGCTTTCACAGATGTGGAACAAACTTTCTCATCAGTGAGGCAAAGAGGAGATTAGAAGCCTCCTACATCCTGGTGTCATCTCTACACACTCCATCTAACTGAAGCTCATTCTCCTGGAGTAGTGCTACAAAGTTAATTTTCTATTGAGAAAAGTGGCAGCTAATACTTCAGGAAACTGTGATATAAGGCTGGATGCAGAATCTCTATCTTCCAGCTTTTCCTCTTCCAATTAACTGAATTATAGAGATTACAACCTGTTTCTTCATTATTAATGAAGATTCATTCATTCAATTTTCAGTTTTCTCAAAAACCCATTTTATAAATATGTATGGTGGTTTTCATGTATATTCAACCCATGCAAGTTTATTTGGGAAAGGCATTATGTTTTTAATTTTGAATAAAATATAACATTGTAGAAAAGTAACTTTTTAAAATTTTGGTGCAACTAAATGTAAATATTATGATAATTAATTTAACACAATGCTATTTTAAGGAGGGACAGATTATTGTATGAACACTAGAGTAGATAATTGTCTTTTGGCCAAGGTAAATTATTTGAGGACCATAAATATTTAAATTACTCACAGGTCACAAGGTATAATATGATTTTTTTCTTCTTTAGATCTTTTGTATAAATTTGCAAATTTTCTATTATTTTTTCCATGTTATGTATTTCTTAATCAGAAATTTTGCTTTGTAAGAATTTTAAAATCATGGACATATAAAGATTTTATGAGTTTATTTTCTTTACAATAATGCTTCTTTAATGGAATTTTGTTGCTCCTTTCAGTGTTGTAATGTTTTAAAAATAAATCTGGCAATTTAGTCTTCTTTACACATCTGTTTACACAATATAATTCATCCTATGTCACTAAAATCAAAGGGATTTATTTTTGAATTGAGTGGAAAATTAGGACTATAATCTTAAGAATTTTTTCTATTTTGAAAACAATTAACATTTTGGAATATTTTCAATCACAGAAGCTTTTTTGTGGTCCCTTTGATATTGCATAGAACTCAATTAAGGGTCAGGAAGATGCAGTCTCATTATAATACTTGGTCCACTCTGTGGAATGCCTTGAAGATAGAGCTTGCATATATAATTTAAGTCTTAAATATTTCAACAATTTATCCCCAGCTGGATTATGGCCATAATGGCTATCTTGTGCTGCATTTTGTTCCATAGCATATTCTTTAATTAACGAGAAACTGGAATTACTTTGAAAATAATACTATTTTTAAAAGCAAGATTTTCTGTAAATTGAAATACAGGCGTCTCTTGCAATGAGATTTTAAGCTATCATTAAATTATTGGCTTGGTTTCAGCTCTAATCACTCCTGGATGAAGCCCATTATTTTCAAAAGAGTACATTTTGTTGGCAGGGGACACGAGTTTTCTGGTACTTTTGTAATTTATTGTCTGCATCAAAACTTAAATTTATGGCTTATTCCATATTCTATCATTTTCCCTCTGTGAACATTTGTGAAGGAAGCATTTTTAGCTTAAGTCCTAACTAAGGCTTTATAGGAATAGATAAATATAAGGCATCATATTTTAATGTGTTGGCATCAGGGTCTTTGGCTTAAGTTTCCTCCAATAATCATCTTCTCTAAGACACGAGGATGAAATAAGAGTGACTATAAAGTAAACTTGTATTTGCAATTTTCTATGGATTCTACTCTAGCGTGTTGAACAACAGACTTAGTACTATGGACAAAATAACTTTATTCTTGGTCTCAATGCCTGCACAATCATCTATTTTGGGAAATATTAAAAGGACTCTTATTAACTAAGTTTTCTTCTTACATGAGTTTGAGAGCAATATGTAAAAAGTTAAAATTAAGCTGTGGGAACAATCTAATATTTCAAGTAAATGGATTGTTATTTTTATTGTATAATTATTTTAAGGAAATGCACATGAAGGAAGGAATATTTCATGATGTCAAAAATATGCATTTTTTGTCATATTAATGATTAATAGTTTTCCAAGAAAGAAGAACTTTTTTTTCTTGAAGGGAGCTCAAATTTTCTGTTCCCTTCAATATAAAAGCAGGACAAGGGTGAAGTACTATTTTCCTAATAATTGTCATTACTGTCTGCCATTTTCAAAATAAATTTAATTTATAAGTATGTTTATCTTAAACAGAATAATTCTAGCACACACAATTTTACAGGTATCAAATAAAATTATAGGGTCAGTTATTTAAATAGAGAGTTACAGGATTAATTCTTTTGTTTCATCATAGAAGGAAGTTAAAGGATAGTTATCTTGAACACCATTGCAAAGACCATGTATAATAATAGAAAGGCAAAGATTTGGGATATCAAGTTAGTTTTTAATCAATTTATTCTAAGTTGACTATTGATTTTTAAAAACATGATTTTCTTAACTTCAATCTGACTAAGCGTATGTTCTTGGGTGAGAGTATTTTAAGATCTTTGCCTATTTCAAAAATTTAGCAAAATCTAGTTGTTAATTTAGCAATGACCTATCCAAGAGAGGTATCACTTAATTTAGATTAGTACAGAGGCAAGTGTGTTCCCAATTTCTTTGGCAATGAACACATCTCCAGATTTCATACCCATGCTTAACTGATTATCCTCAGGTGGTTGTCTGGATGCACCTTCTATATCACATTTAATTATTCATACTGAGTGGTTTCTTTCTCCATCATGAACATTTTGAGTAAATATAGTAGTTTTCTTTTTTTAAATGTTCAGTGAATGAATGTATTTAGTTTGGGTCTGGGTAGGTTTCTAAAATTTGCAATTTCATCCCAATCTTAAGGCAAGTTTTCACTCCTAAGAGTATAAAGGGGCCTAGTGTACGATATTTGAAATACTACTACTATCACTACTACTACTGGAGAATATTTAGGATAGAGTAAGCCTAACCAATTCTATATGCCAGTGAAAAGTCATAAAAGGCCTTCTGATAAAAGGGTAACAGGTTGGTTTTTGACTTGATGCATTGGGGCAATTAGATGATACCCTTGCAATGGCCTCCTATTGAGTACTCTGGTGGTCAGGCACCAAACCATGTGGGATTCACAACTCTGTGAAGGGTTAGTATATTGCTGAACCTCAAAGGACATCTGATCTTCCAGCATTACCCTGCTCTTTATGCGGTGGTGGCATCAGATTGTTAAATTGAAGTATTGAGCAAGAGATGGTGATTTTGAAACCCTATCTTCAACTTTTTTTTTAACTCACTAAAATGTATTGAAGTCCTCTTTGAATTAGAATGACAATTTTTTTTAAACAAGGAACAATTAAAGGGAATTGGAAAAAATTTAGCTATGAAAAGATTTGAAAGAGCCAGGGATTGCAAATCAGCCCAATTCCTGGAGCTACTGAAAGAGATGGGGCAAATTATAGTGAAGGAGATCTTGCCCGGAAATAAGGAATACCCTTCTGATATCCTTAATTAAATGGAGAAAAAGTATGACTTCTCCTATCATTGAGCCTTGATGCAAGGGGTCTGAAACCCACTGTAGTAGTTTGCAAAAATCCCTCTTTTTCTGTGGGAGGAATAGGCATTTAATCCTCTTTCAAAGCTCATGTGACTAAAAACACTGAGTTCCTTGGTTCTTGAAAAATTTATACTGATCACAAGAAAATAATCTATTGGTAAATAGTCCTAGATCTTTAAAGAAACTAATTTTATATATCTGCAAGCTCGTTTGGCTTAGAGTGTACTTTCCCCTCTTTA